CAATGCGAAAGAAGATATGTCCCGTAAAATTAAGAGTCTCCGTTGAATTTTAATTTTGTGTTTGTAAATTCTATACATTTAATTAAGTTATTGTTAATTTTCTATTGGTTTAATGTAAGTGGCTATTGTTCGGGACGAACAATACTAAGGAAGAGACAGTGTTACGACAGCGGAAGTCACGTGATCCTGGTAACACGTAATGAGTTCTAGAAAGATCGGGGAACATTACGAATAATCCAGTATTTGCTAGGCGCCCTCTATTCTTGTATATAAGTGCGTCAGACAATTAATCGGGATTGAATAGCTGACAGAGAGATTGAAGATATAGACGGACAATTGAGTCAAACGCGGTAGTAAGTGAAGTGCGTAAATCATTCGTTGAGAATTATAGCGTATGTTTAAGTTAAAGGGACTGTGGAAATTAATTGTATTGCAAAGTTGAATTGAGAAAGAATAAACTAGTTTTATTTGAGAAAGGACTTGTATCGCTGAAGTTCTTCGGAAAGAATTTTTACGAGTAATTAACTAACGACCAGAGACGTAACACTATTTTACTAATATCGTAGCCCTCATCTCTGTCTAGCCCTAGTTTAAAGCTACCATTACAGTCCGAGTTAATAGCCCTTGCTAACATCCTAACCCCTGCCTTGTTTAAGTGTAAGCCATCCATTCCGAAAATATTAACTTTCTCATTAAAATTATCCCACAAATCTAACCAGGCTATTTGCTCATCGCCACATACTGATCTAAGTCTGGCATTCAATCCTAGTGACCTACTTGCTTCTCATCCCACAATTTATTCCATTTTTTGTATTTGTGATATGAAAAGACAAAATACCTTTGTTCATGTTATATGAGCCAAACATTAAAAAACTAAGTTTAAAAAAGATAATAAGTTCATCTAAATATTTAGAATTTGTTTTGAGAAACCTTTAGTAAATTCTAATTTGTTTTTAATCTACTTATTGTGGCAATATGACACAAAATGACTCTAGGTTATGTTTACGTTCTTCGCATCTTTGCTACTCGCATTACTGGGAAACTTATACATCGACACCGAGAATCCTGAGAGCGTAAGCAAAGGCCATATAACTCTTGATATACCGTCATATACGGTCGTTACGTTGTTCAGAAGAGCGTGAAAACTTGTGTTTAAGTAAGACCTTCCAACGTAGTCTGATAGTTTTTGCAGTCTTCTTACGTAGTAAGTATAACGTCTTAGATACTAAGAACGTAAATCGTGTGTACAGTTCTAAAAGTGAACATTACATTTGCACTGTTTTTGGCCATTTTTTCAATCAGAAATGATGTTGTTGATAAGGGCATAGCGTGAGTCACGTGTGCCACTAACTTAAAATGACTAAGGTTTGATGTTACCGGCTGCCTGGGTTTTGTATATATCGAGGTAGCTAACTTTTGGCAGAGATTCCTGAGTAACAGCAGTATGTTTGATTGAATTTTGTACACTTAACTGAAATGTTAACTTAAACTAAAGGTTATATGAAACTGTAAGAAAGATTGAGCAAGGTGATGTAACGTCTTTTGTTCAATTAACTTCTTAAGTGATTATCTGATCAAGGTCACCATTCACTCGTCACAATAACCAAATATCAAAATCAAATTAAAATATCGTTTTACATTCGCATGCATATCCAACAAATGTCTAATTATCAAGTAAACCATTCAATGAATTATAAGAACTAATTTTGTTTAAGAACAAGTTTCCATCTTGGTTTTTAAAAATTATACTTATTAATGTTACTCATAATATTAAACACTGTTTTTTTTTTCAAGCTTTATTTTCAACCTCACAAAAAGGCCACCTAAAGCAAGATTATCCAAATTCCTGACAGTTTTGATTACCTAAATTAAGTTCACCTTTAGAGCTTATATGCTTCAGTAAAAAACTTTTAGGGCCTGGCCTAGTGGTGAGTGTGCCTAGCAGACTGTAAATATTAGTAGGTCATGGTACCTGTCCTACTCAAAAATGCTCCCTACACTTTAGGCCCATAGGTGCACAGTAAGAGTGGTTGTCAAATATTATTTACTGGACAAGGATAACCTGAGAGTTGGTGGTGCCTTTCTTTTCATCTTATCAGTTAAAAGTTAAGAATGGCTTATTCAGATAACCCTTGTGTAGCTTTACAAACAAATTCTAAACATCCAAACAAACCTTTTTTAAACCTCTCCCTAGTATTCTAACAGCCCATTTCTAAGTTTTAAGAATATTAAAATTGCATACTATTCTGAATGAGTCTTCACAACTCTGAGAAAAGGTTATGATATCCCTCTTAAACTTAAAGTTCACTATTTCTATAAAGAATACAAAGAAATTGAGTGTGCCCCTTTTACTCAATAACATTGTAGTATGAATGAGGCATTTTCTTTACTTACAGCTTCAATGTTCAAATCTAAGATTTTCTGTGTGTTATATTTGATAGTGTTGTTGGTATGTTCTGCGTAGTTATGAACCAGCAAAAGTAAGACATTGTTAGCATTTGACACCACAATGATATTCTTCGAACCATCTCATCAGTTACTGCCTGTAAAACTTGGTAAGATATTATAATATTGGCTTCTTCCTGTTTGTTGCTCAGGTCTTGACATTTTATTACATTTCCTTCAAAAATCTGGAATGGCACAGGACATTTTCTGATGGTAATAAAAAATTTGGACAGAACTTCCTCTGATGATGAGCAATTTATTGTTTGTCTTGTTTTCTTTTTGCACTAATACTTTAAAGTTAATATCAATTATCTGTTTTCATTTCTGTAAAACATTCAAAGCAATCTTCTGTTGAGCTACATAATACATGCTCCTTTCAGTTTGCCTTATTTTATAGGGCTTCTTTAAAGGACATAAAAATGATTTAATACAGATACTTGTGAACAAATATGACACATTTCCATAGCAACCATGTATTACAGAATGAATGATACTCTAAAGATATATTTTAAAGGCATTAAATTACACCTTATTGCATTTAAATTGGTATTCTTATTTTAAGGAAAAACAAAATGTTAAAGATGAAAGAAAACCTCATTTTTTAGAAAAATTTAACAAATTCTCAGTGGTACAATTAAAAGTTTATAGTACTCACAAAATGAATTTCTGTGAGCTTGCTACAGGTTATCTCACTGATGCTTGTAATCAGCTTTCAATCTATTATTTAATAGATCTCCTGTATTTAATACTTAAATACCTAAAGCTATAATATTGTAAGTACTAGGTCTTAAAAGTTCTTTACCAGTGGCATTATTAACCATATCATTGTCAGAAATAGACAACATCTAAACTATGACCCTTCCTAATAGTTCCAGTAACAAACTTTGTATAAGAAATTCATCCTTTGCTGGAACATTAAGTATTTTTATTATGTACAAACAATTACATTAATTTTTAGCAGGACATTATTTGCAGTTTTGCCACAGAAGACATTCATCTTTTACATTAGGTACTTTTGCTGCAGAAAGTGTTCATTCTTGATGGTGACATCAGAAATTGTTTTTTTATAGAGAGTGTGGATCTTTAATAGTGACTTTTGGTACTTATGTTGGAATATTTTCTTAAGTAGTGGCTCTAGAAGGGGTGCTGCCCTATCTACTTGTTGTTAAGTTCTGTTCTTAGTTGTCAGGAGAGATTCACAAATATTTAGGTGGTTGCAGGTGAACTTGGGCACTTATTCTCTGTGCATTAATCACAGTTATGACTGCGGTTCCAGGGGCAGCTTGCCACCCCCTGTTCCCGACCATAAGGACTATCTCCTTATTTTATAAATTTACATGTAATTCTCTCATTGTACGTGTTTTTTAAATAATATTTGTTCATTTCATATTTTTTTTGTATACCAAAATTATTTGTATTTTCTTGTTACCCCTTATTTACAATCCATTTTCTGCAAGCCATAATCCATAATGTTCATGTTAGTACCTTGACAAGCTGACAGATGGCAGTAGAGATTAGGTGTAAAAAGGTATAGAAATGGATAAATATTCGATAAAACATTGGTGAGTGTTTAGAGTGAAAATGATAATTTACATATCACTGATGAGGAGGAGGAAAAGAAGTGGCAGAGAATTTGGAATACATAGGGAAGTATTCCTTTAAATATACTGACGTTTTAGTATTGTTACTTCCGTAATGAAGTGTTTCATGTTAAGTTTCAGAATGTACAATTGCATTTGTTAGTATTATTCATCATTCTGAAAAGGATAACTTCAAACATAAGTATGTGCAATATATACATATATAATATGCTTATGTGGTTTAAAATATGCAATCAGATGTAATAACCATGAAATAATATATTAATTTACTGGATTGTAGATGTGTAAGACAAACTGTCTGCTTGTGATTGTGTATATTCCACTTTTTTCATCATTGTTTCAAGGCTCATTTGTAGTTCAAAAATACATTGCAAGTTTGTGGAAGGAGAGGTAGTTTTTATCTCCCTATATGCTAAAAACCTGTGAGCTTTGTGCCTCGACTATGCTGGAGTCAATGGTTGGGTTTCAGACACCCCAGCCTAAACCTTTTTGCACCCCAGATAAATTCTAATGAAGTAGTTTAGAACTCTAACCTTCCCGACTTTTTTTCCTTCTACTAAATACTGAGAATTTTGGATTACTACACTTTATATAGGTGCTGGAGCTTTGTAATCCCTAGTGTTTAAAATAGTACAACAAAGAGAATGTCATTGTATGATAAAGTTGTATTTATGTCACTAATTTTTTTTTCAAGTATGCTAAATTAATATAAAATAATATAATTCCAACCCTGCCTTAATGGAATATAGCAAGACAAAGCTAAGGGAATGTTCTTATTTTTACAAGGAATAATGATGTATTATCTCTTGTGATTTGTTTGCATAAACTTAGAGGTTACATTCCCAACTTCTTGTATGTAACACTTGTTGGAAAGTCCTGTCATTTAATAGAAATGAATATTTTTTTCCATGAAAACAGTATTTTTGTTTCTGAGGGAAATCATCTAAAGGCCAAATTCTTTATATGTAACTTTTCTTCAACCCTGCTGTCAAGAGTAAATTATTTTGTGATTTAGTTTTTCAGAGTAATAAAAATTCCAAAATAAAAGTTTATTTTTGTCAGCTGATTATGCTTTGATATTCTATGTTCATGTAGAATGTTTTGACAAAATTACTAAATATTTTAAAATGTATTTCAAACAAAAAGTTTTATATTTTATAAAGAGTAATCTGGGCATTAAATTAAAATTGTAATACCTTTAAAGCTATGCAAATCAATATTAAAACTTTTTTCATACACAGCCATCATCATACAAAAATGTTTTACCTTTTTTCTTCAACTTTTAGATAATGTAAAAATTAATCAGCCTCAGGCATTTTACTATAAACATCTTAAGAAGTATGTTAGTTCTTACTGAATCTGTAAGAAAGTTTTAAATAATTAAAGGTAAAAAAGAAATTAGAGAATAGTTAGGACATCATTAAAAATGCACAAAAACACACCCAAAAAAGATATAACCAAAAAAAAGGATTTAGTGGAGAACAGAAATAGCACAAGAAAATTTAACCAGAAAGCTAGTGTGTACAGGACAAGTAAACAAAATAAAAATTGGCCCAAAACATTTTAGTGTTGTGAACAAGTATAAAAAACCTTTTAAAACATTTACCAGTTCTACTTCTGAAAAACTACTATTAGGTTTTATGTGCCTGTATCAAAATGAAAGTGATTGATTATAGCTCTTTGTTGCCTAATAGAAGTATTTCTAAAAGTGATTAATGATTAGTGTAATACTTGTATATTTATAAATCTAATTCATGTATTTCTAAAAGTGATTAATGATTAGTGTAGTACTTGTATATTTATAAATCTAATTCATGTATTTCCAAAAGTGATTAATGATTAGTGTAGTACTTGTATATTTATAAATCTAATTCATGTATTTCTAAAAGTGATTAATGATTAGTGTAATACTTGTATATTTATAAATCTAATTCATGTAGGGATGAACTTTTGTATTTCAATATAAAAAATTAGCACTAAAGTATTTAAAATTACTTGAAAAATCAAAAGTATTTAAGATTTATTGAAAAAAAATGAAATAGTCAAATTGAAATTCATGATGATGACATTTCAATGTATTGGAAAATAAAGATAGAAAAAAATGCTATGTCAAAGTAATGAATAGCTATAACAAAAAATATATCTAAAAGTATTTAATCTTCTTTGGAGTAAATACTGAATTATCCTTGTAAACCATGTTTGGCTCCTTTTTTAGTTTGTAAAAGCATCTATTGGTTTAGTTCAACAATAATTATTCTGTATTTTACCAACAGGAAACACAAGTTTCAAGCTACAAGTGTTGTCAGTAAATCATGCTTCCTGCTTTTCTGGCTGCATTACGAATATATGCACCATATATAACGTTTCCATTTGCTTTAGTAATTGGTTTTGTTGGCTACAACGTTGAAGGCTTATTTTCAGACAGGCGTACTCCTTACAAGAAATTAAGCATTGAAGAGGAACGGGAAGAGAGGAGATTACATGATTTAGAAGGAAAGGATACAACATCAGTCGATAGCTTAAAAGCTCGAACATTTGTTCCTAAGACCATTTTTGAAAAAAATGTGTCACCATCCCTACAAGAGAAACACAATTGAAATAGGCTTAAAAACAATTTTTAAATGTTGTTACTGCATCTTATGGTATGAACAATGTTAAAAGAAATTGAATTTTTGCAACTATAGCAAATCATATAAATAGTTTTGATTGTATAAATCTGTAGCTGTTACTTTTTTTTTCTTGTAGAGATTAGTTAGAGAAAATAAAAGTAGAAGACATTCTTCAAAAATAGCACAATAATATAAGAAATTAACATTATATCATAAAAACATTGTTTGGTGTTTCACTGCCATTTATGAGTTAAAAGACAGATTGTAACTCTTTCATTTAAGTCATGCATATAAGAAATTTATTAGTAGGCAATTATCGAAAGATCCATTCATGCTTTTAAAAAGAGGACTTGAAAGACAGAGCAGCATTAATAGTAGCAGTTTTTGTTATTAGTTCTATGATTTTTTAAAGATAGTATCACAATGTTTCCTGGTGTTTTCTTTCTCAAGTTATATCTTTATTAAGAGATTACAACTGCCCAGAAACATAACCTTATTGCAAGTAAATAGGTGCAAAATGTAAGCTACTTTTTGGAATTGTTTTACTTCATAATATACTCTGATTCTGTGGAAAACATGTACCTATATATATATATATATATATATATATGTGTGTGTGTGTGTGTGTGTGTGTGTGTGTGTGTGTGTATATATCTATCTGTCTCGTACCGTACACTCCGTCCGTTCGGTCCGTACAGCGACGGGTACCTAAACCTTTACCTTTACCTTTA